TTAAATTTCATCCCCTTTAATCAGTTGCAATACCTTGTGATGACAGATGACAGTAAAAAGAACATTATCCAATTGGGGATACCTAAACGAAGGACAATCCAGTTTTATTGTTAGCAATTCAATGAGCGTGAACATGTTAAGCGGATTATTGCTCTATCAATTCCAAGTCCCTCTATCCCCGCTCCCCTCCTTAGCATTTGCTGGGCATTTAGCAACATTTCTTGACCCAGGGTAGAGCATTTGCTAAAACCAGTTGCCCTCCTGTTGAAAATGCCATGAAACCCCTGAGAAATATGAGAAATAAAATGCCAGTTATTACATTGTTAAAGTTTTATTACTTTCCAGAAGTGCGCCATTGTTTCCAAATGTGATGGTTACAGGCAGGCTTTTGGCCATGTGGCCGTCCAGCCGTCCTGTGGATGACCACCTTTCAGGAAAAAATAAATAAATCAAGCAGAGATCTTGTTGATTTACACTCAGTAATTTTACAATAGTTCATACGAAATCACTTGATTTCTATAGTGATTCAGGAAGTGCTTTTGAACACACCATCTCACCATCACCTTATTTCTACTTCAGTTTCCTTTGGTTACTTCATAGGTGAATGTCGCCCACTATTTTCCCGTTTACATTCGTGTGGAGCATGACGTGTGTTACCGAACCAATTTCACCGAGAGGAACTTTGTGTAACCAGGAAGAAGCGTTCCTTCTGGGGAGTGCTTGTTGGTGGCTACATGAAGTACTAACTTGTAAACCGGCACGTGTTGTTTCACAATCATTTTTATAGTGACCACAATCGTTGATTTAAGAAACCTTTGCCATGCAACAATCTTTGCTTAGTTTTGTTTGTGAAACACAACTGAATGCATTTAGTATGGGCAGAGGCAACTTCAGTTTCAATCTATTTTAGTGTTTTGGTGATGAAAACAACGCATTAGCATTCAGGACCATTCAAGTCTGATCGATACATTTATCAACTGAAAATTGCAGAAAACGCACCTAAGGCACTTCAATTTTTCAAACTTTTCTGGGAGGCATGCCATCAGAGCTCCCTAGCATATTTGTTATTGAGCAGCCACTCACAGAATCCTGGCTAAAAGCCTGGTTACACGTTTTAATTAATGAAGATCCATTTCCAACAGTTATTGCTTCCACCATCAACCAGAAATGGAAAATAGGGTGGGGTCAGATATTTGTGCTCTTGCTGAAGCTCTGCCATGGGGATTTACACAGTTATATATTCTAGTCCCCTTGTGGGGGATTTGCAGCATTTTTTCAAAAAAAGTAATACAAATGCCTAACAAATGTCCCCCACAGAGGGGGGGGGGGGGGGGGATGGAAGAGCTTTGCATTGACTAAGCAATTACTTGGGAAAAGTTGTCAGGTGTAATGTCAGGGCTGTCAATAAGGGCCATAACCTGTAGCACCTGTTACGGCTGAGCATGCCTGATGGACTCTTGATGCTACAGGTGAATTTGCCTGTAGTTGATACAATTCACCCATGAAGTAGCAAGTTTGATACAGGTGTGAAGATCAAGGCCTACAGATGAATTGAAACTTAATGAACAACAGCCCTGTAATCTTTCTTAATAAAAGACATTGTTTTCTTTGATCTAGTTTCCAGAAAACTCCTGCATTGGGATAGCAGATAAAGTCATCTTGTTCTTTCACAACTACTCCACAACAAATATTTTGACGAAATTAACCAGTGTGGAACAGTTGAAAGAAGGATCTGTTATTGAAGTTGTTGTTTCAGGTAAGAGATAACGTTTGCCTGGGATAGGATGCGATCACTTGAAGACTCTCCCTTGTGTATCATTAGATTGTCAATCACACAGGTGGCAAGAAGATAGAAATTGTCAGCTGTTACATGATTGTCGATTGAGTAAGGCATGACAAAAGTTTGGTGACCAGGTTTCAAGTTAATAATGTTCAATTTGTGTTGTTGTAACAGGCAACTGGCTCTGTTTCCAGTGGCAACTTGTCAGCCTTTGATGTCATTACCAGCATTAAGCGTGCAAAATTGTAGCTGATGATATTGTTACCATTGGAAACGAGGAAAGTTGCCCTTGGCAACACTGTAATTTTAAGGCCAAAACTTTGTCACCAAGGCTTTATCGCACCTTACTCAACTGATAATTGTAGTATTAATAATTTTGCTTTCTTTTTCTTTTTTTGAATTTATTTACTATTTCTGAGAGTGTTAATAATAATAATATTGTCTTGATCAAGTTAGTACCAAATAAGTTAGGTGAGGCAGCATTGGATTCCCTTTGCAAGAATACGAAAATCTGGTTGAACTCTCGTCTGTTCATTATTTTATGACATGTGTTGTCTACATGTACATGACAATGTGATACATCTGGTGTTAACACACTTCATTTAATATTGAACTCACTTTATTTAATAAATAATAATGCTTAAAACATTTTAAATACAATAATTAGGCATGAATGTACAGATAGTCTAAGCTAATCTAGGCGGGTCGTGTTCTAACTGAATTTAATTACAAAAATTAATATAAGATAATACATACCATTGATACATGTATAACAAACAAACTTTCCAACACATGAGATTGACAAAGAGTTACAACTGTTTTTGTCTACATATGGTGTCTACATGATTATGTGATACATGCACGATGCTTACAGTACTGCACAAGAAGAAATTAAACCTAACAGGGAACGCGTTTGGGAACGGGTATAGAATGGCAACAGAACAGTACAGAACGGATAGAAAACGGATATGAAATGGATATGGAACGGATAAGGAACGTATAAGGAACTAGGATGGGAAGGCGTGTGGAACAGCAACAGAACACGTTCTTTCAAGCGTTCCCTGTTAGGTTTCTTCTGATTGGTACTGCACAGGTTCAAGAAAAGTATTTACCAAGTTATTGGAATCTTTGTGTGTTATTCCTGACTAGTCTAAGTATTATTAACTTTTTAAATAAATGTTTTATTTATTTTATTCGTACTATTTATTTGATTTGATTTGATTTTGGTTTGTTTTTTTTTGTTATCTTTTATTTTTGTCTCTGTGAAAGTTATTCTTACCCACTGTGACTACACAGTCACGTTTCTTGACTTTTTGGCCATTTTTTTTTTTTTTCAGCAAAAGTACCAGATGATGGGACTGTCATTCGACCTCATCAGCTAATAGTTCACTCCTATAGGTCTCCAACATTCTGTGACTATTGTGCTCAGATGTTGTTTGGTCTCATAAGACAAGGACTCAAATGTGAAGGTATGATGGCTGTTAGTAGCACCCATGACAAGGCCATGCTCTAGGAAAAATTCTAAGGAGCCCTTCAGGCACCCAGCCTTGTAGGCTAGGGTGCCCAGAAGTCAAGCTTGGTGGCCTGAACGAAGAAAAAAAATCTTGAAAAATCAATTGATGAAAATTATGTAAGTAACATTTTTAACTAATTCATGACAACCGATTAACCTTTAAATAAAAATGTCCTGCATTATTTCCAGGGCATTTATCTGGTTTACAGATGCCAAAGATAAAAGGGTTGCATGTAGTTTTCTTGTCAAAAATTCCCAAAGAAAGACAAAATTTACATGTTTTTTTAGTTAAAATGGTTGATATATGTAGAAAAAATCACTTCTTTTTCCTCTATGCTTCTGACAATTTAGTTCACAATCTCCTTCAATTAGGGACTTTTCTTGTACATTATACAAGTCACAAGAACTAAGAAGACTTTTGTTGAAACTACTTGAAGTATACGAAGAAACTGCTATCCTTATCAGTGAAGGCGGGTGTTAAAAGCATAGAAAAAATGTATACACATCAAGCCACCGATGTTTTGACTTCACAGATGGATTTAAACATTCAGAATTGAGCCATTTTGCTTTGAAGACTTCAATACAACACAAGAAATCAAAAAGGGAAAGACATATTATTGTGAGACTGTTTTCATCTCTAAGTTAAATCTCAAAAAAGAGGTTGCCTGGCCAGGCGACTCGGTATGTTTTTCTTGTCGCCGAAGATGGAAGCTGGTCACCTGAGATGATCACACAAAGCTAGAGCATAGCCTTGAATGTACATTTAGTGACTTTCTTTACCACCAGATTTCACAGACATGTCGCTCTTTTTCCTCTCACTCTATTTTACCTCAGGTGATAAGATCAGAGTAGATACAAAAAGCAAGTTTATCAAGAGTTGTAAGTAATACAGGTCTCCATTCATTGCACAAAATCCCCCAACCTCCAAATTGTTTGCCATGGGTAATTGATGATGCCAGATGGTCACTTGCCATAAACAAGCATCCCCCCAGGGTTTGTACCAATTCTTAATATATAGCATGCTAACAAAACTGTCATGAACCTCAAGCATGGAGCAGCCAGTCTTGATCTTCGTTGGTTTAACTATAATATGCTTTTCACTCATTGATAACTTCTTGTTTCTTGTCTAGGATGTGGTGGTAATTTTCACAAGAGATGTGCATACAAGATACCCAATAATTGTAACGGCTTAAGGCATCGCACCAGTACTGCAGCACTGAATGCTGCTCCTCATTCAAATACCCTGCCAAGGCCAGCTTCTCAGGTTGGGGGTTGGAACGATTCGTCATTCTTGATCCACCAATCAAGTTCTTTTAATGATAGCATTCCTTCATCAAAAGAGAGACGAGCAACTTGGAGTGGACGACCAATATGGATAGACAGAGCGATATCGGGCAGAATCCAGATTCCACACACATTTGCCGTTCATTCATACAAGAAGCCTACAGTCTGCCAGATCTGCAAGCGTCTGGTAAGCACATATTAATACATGATGTGGCATGTAGGTTCTCAACAGTGGTTACCGTTACCACTGTGAAATATAGTTGGGAGTATTTGTTTCTGAATCAAGACAGTTTCAGAAAAGTGGTCAGTGTCATGTTAAGCTTCAGAGACAAAAATTACCAAATTCTCCTGACAGGAGTCAAGCTGGTGAGCTTCTGTAAACTAATTGGACACTTAAACTGCTCAGTAACAGGAGACTTATGCGCACTTGCACATATAACAATAAATTAGGTTCAAATGTGACAAGCATACTGCATACAGGACCTCCCAGTGTCCTATCCCTGGTGGGTCATCAGTTTGTCTGTTGCAAATGTAAGGTAACTGTAAATCATGGGTTTACTATTCATAGTTTCATTAATTAATTCATGATGATATCATTGCATTGTAGTTATGCCTACCCCTTCAGTCACTTTTATTAGTGGCAGCTCTTTAATGCTATGTGTAACCCTTTTTCTTCCCAGTTAAAAGGCTTGTTTCGTCAAGGTGTTCAATGCAAAGGTATTTATTTAGTTACATTACTCTTCTTAAATTGATTTCGATTAATCTTTTGGTTATCAATACTGCATAGCACATGTTAATTTAAAAAAGACAGTCCACAATTTCATTGTTACAGAAAGTGTAAGTGAATGATACAATATTAAGAAGTTTTGTTTCATTGCAGATTGTAAGTTTAACTGCCATCGAAAAGGGTGCGCCGAAAAGGCACCAAAGAATTGTCTGGGTGAAGTGTCATTTCTAGAGACAGGTTAGACAAGTATGAGGTGTTAAATTACATGGTACATCTACTACTCAGAGTTACCACACTAAAAGAAATTGAAATTACAGTCAGACCTCTCCTTATGGACACCTCCATAACACGGACATCTCTGTATTGAGGACAAATCATATACCTGTAGTCCCAGTGAAACCAGAATTCATACAAGCTCTTCGTCTATAATTTAGGGCCACCTCTACAATATCAACAGTTGGCCCTGCCCCGTTGGTGTCTGTATTAAAGAGGTCTGACTGTGTTTAATTTATTGCTTATTGTAAGTGCTTTTGAGAGTTAGAAGAAAAATGAGAGTGGGTCAGAGTTCGGATTCCAACTCATGCCTGTTTGGTAGACTTGGAGATGCGGTTACCTCATTGTTAGTGCACTTGTGAGCAGTCCAGGTTTGAGCCCTTTCACAGTGCCTCTCTCCACCCAGGTGTATAAATGGGTACTGGTGAATTTAATGCGGGGGATAACCCTGTGATGGACCAACATCCCATCAGTNCACCCACATGTGTCAATGGGAACCATTAAATTTACTGAAAGTAGCATTGTCATGGGCTAGCTTCCTATCCAGGGGGGTGTAAAAATACTTATAGTCACTTCATACTACAGAAATCAGGATTAAGCGCTGGCCTGATAGGCATGTATGGCTTGTACATGTATGCAGACTTTACCATTCTTTGACCATTGATGTTGGAAAAAAATCAGTCAGCTCTCATTGGCTCTCATACTTGCTTGTGCTGACAAACACAAGGAAGAGTGAGAAACCCAACGTGATGTTAACAATGACATTGTCTTTTAACTGCCATTAGGATAGCTCAACTGGTTGTGCACCATTCTGCAGCATGGATTGTCAGGGATTCATGCATCCTGGCAGACAACCAACCAGGCTCTGGCAAAAATAACTCATAAGGTCATGCTGGCTGTGTGTTTAAAAAAAAAACTTGTCTTAGTTAACATGATTGTAACATTGAGCAGTGACACGAAGCCATTGTTCTTACATGTAGTTGTCTCCTACCCTTCTTATACTTGATTAGTTACGTAAAGGTAAAGTCTGCGTCAGGTTAATTGGTTGAGCATACTGCCCAAGCTTCTCCTGGTTTCCATAGCATTAAATGACTACATGTTGGAGTAACTCTGCTCTCCCCTCAATGTGATGCTAGTCCATTGCAGGGGTTACCCCAGCATCATTAAATTCTCTGGTACCCATTTATACACCCAAGTGGAAAGAGGCAGGCTTTTAGCAGGATGGGCATCTAGGCATCCTGTGAAGCCTGGGCCATTTATTAAAGAAAATCATTTTATTTTTCATATGTTGCCTTATAAATTGTTCATTTAAGCAGGCCCTATAGCACATTTTGGACGCCCACTTTTCAAATCCTGGCTAAAAGCTGGGAGAAAGGCACTGTGAGAGTACACAATGCAGTCACCCCTGGGGAACTTAAACAGCTCAAACTGGATTTCAGCGCACTGTCTAACCATAATGGCAATATGCCTTCCCCCACATACATACTAAATTAGTGGCAGATATTGAAGAAGTCATATCTCTCTTCAATGTTAAGGACTGGGCTTTTTGACATGTGCAGCTTATTCATGAGTTAGGTGGGGAGTTAAATTTAAGTGTCATGTGGCTATTACTCCTCATGTGGCACATGGCACAAACCCAAACTTAGCCTTGGCAAACGTACTTTTAGATTTTCTGGCACAGCCCTTTTTAATTCACAACCTTGTAAAATCCAACAAGCTGTATCACTCTCCTCTTTTAAAAATCTTGTCAAAGCCCATTTTATTTATAGCACGTAATTTATGATATCTATTTTTTCCCCTACCAGTTCATGCTTGTAACTCGTTTCAATTTTTTTAAACTCTTTTTATATAACTATTTCAACTACTAGACGTTAGTTGTTTTTTTTTAACTCTATTTTTATAACTATTTTATACTATTAGACGTTTTATATTTTTAGAAACTGTATTTAGTAGGGCCCCTCTGGATACCAGCCACTGTGCTGAATGGGCCACCCTGCATAAATAAAGTTTTACTTACTTACTTACTACTTACTTACTTACATGTGCTGTATAAATCCTGTTGTACCCATCTTCTGCTTCCTGTTGTAGGTTCACTAGGTTCCACTGATTCAAGTGCCATATCAGAAAATTTTTCTGAAATGGATCTAAGTAATGATATTCCAGACGAGCATGAGTATAGCGAGAATGAAACCGAGGCTGAGTCGACAAGCCGCAGTAGCCAGGAAGAATTTGAACCCACGAGTCCTTCATCGCCAGACTATGAATTGCCGCAGTTGACCCCAACAATGAGTAACAACATCCCCCTACAGAGGATAGTAGTGTCTGTTAAGCACACGAAGAGAAAAGGATCTAAAGTGCTAAAGCAGGGATGGATGGTGCATTTTACCAGCAAGGATACTCAGGTTCATGTATAGTAGCATTCTCGGAGACCCAGGGGCAGATAGTCGGATCAGGAGGAAACTTGTCAAATGGACAAAAGTTGTATAACGATTACAAGAATTAACAAGAAATGGGCTGTGTAACTGTTCACTTAAGAGTAGCTTCCCAGGAGCTACTTCATTTGTTCTTTAAGGGTTCTTTTGCACCTCATTTGCTCATTTGACTTTCTCCTGACTTGACTATCTGTCCCTGGCTCACCAAGTATGGTATTGTAGAACTTGTGTGTTTTGTTTTGGTCTGTCAAAATACATTGTTTTACCAGCATAGTAGAAAAGCCACAAAGTATTGAAAGTACTGATCCTATTCTGAAGCAAAAATCAAATCTTTTGGAATGAAAGATGGTTGATTATTGTCAAGGTAGGTCTACGCTCTAGAAGCACGCGGGTGCCACAGGCGACATAATTTTTGCCTTTGGGCAACTGGAAAAACTGCCAAGTAGTTTTCTTATTATTTGATATTGATGACAGGGAAATTGAACATTAAAAAAACATAAGCCACAAGAAAATATTTTGTAAATTAATGTCACGGAAGACACTGGAAAGGGATTTTTCAAACCTTACACTTTTAACTTTACATCAGGCTACAGTATAAAGGTTTTCAATCATGTGTCCTGTTACTTTTTTACATTTCTCACTAATGTCTTTGTGAGTGTGTAAGATATGACCCTAGTCTGACTCCCTTAATTCTGATGGTCTTGTGTTGCACTCTGACTTATGCTTTTACATTTCAGAGGAAAAGACACTACTGGAGGCTAGATACAAAGTGCTTGACACTATTCCAAGACTCTACAAGCAACAGATATTACAAGGTTTGCTTCATGCTAAGTGAATTCTTTTTGTTATTTTACGACTTCAAGTTGTAGGTTTGCGTATTTTTCCTTATTGGCCAGCAAAGAGGACTGGATGGAAAAGTTTCTCATTCAGTTTCATGCATTGGAATGTTGTAGCAGTGCTAAATTCACCAACATTTATTTCTATTTTAGTACTGTCATTTGTACTCGGCCATCTAAATATTAATATTTATTAATACTGTTTACTATTTTTATACAGGAAATTCAGCTGTCTGAAATACTGTCAGTTGATTCCAACATTGACCCTCTAGCAACAGATGCCACACGGGCTCCGCACTGTTTTGAAATGAAGACAAGAGACATGGTGTACTATGTGGGACAAGTTGAAGACGAGAATGAGACACCTGACCCAGATAGTGGCATCGGGGCAGTGGCAGGCCAGGCTTGGGCTGGTGTCACCCGCTCTGCTCTGATGCCAGGCTGTGTCACTCCGACGACAAGTGTTGCTCCATCAAGTAACAGTGGTGAGTGTGCTCTACCCCATCCAACCCCATTGGACCCCACCCAACTCATCCCACCCCACTATTCATTATTTGTGTTGCTAGCTTTATGTTGAAAAGCAACTCAGCTCAGAGTATCATTTGAATTTCTGTAGTTCGTCTTGTGTGATCGTCTGGGTGAGGGTAGTTCTGAAAGGAACTGTTGTTGTTGGTGACTGATGTTTCGACAACCTGAGCGGAAGTGATCTTCAGAGTCCAGTGAATAGTGTTAGTTAGTTGATGATGTTATAGGTCTGGTCTTTTGAAAGTGATTGGTCTGTTTAGCGGTGATGGTATTGGCTGCAAGACTTGTGTAAAGTTTGTCAGCAGTTATTAGTTGGTTCTAGTAAGTTTTGATTTGTCTACTGTTAGTCAAATTAACTCCGTTATTGTATTATGCAGGTTCAAACAAACATTTTTGTGTATTCATTCATATTGTAAGTCAAATTAACTCCACAAGACGACCTACTGATACTCCTGGGTTCAAAATAATAATCATGTATTATTTGAATTTCTGATCAGTTGTGAGCAATCCTGATGTAGAGATGGAAGTAACGCATGAGGAGGAGAAGGTTAAGGATGCTCCACTGGTGAGTGAACTGCCATGATACCGTGTGTCATTGGTTTACCACGTTGTGTATAAAGTGTGTTGTTGTTGTTGCATGATACTTTGTGGTGTACGCATGCCATGCATTGTGTGACATCAGATGTTAACTTGGCAATTAGTCAGTTTTTAGTGGTATCAATCAACCTAGGTTTACATATTTTACAATTACTTATAATATTGACCATTTACTGCCTTGGACAGCAGTTTTGCTGTTGAAGCAGAAACGTCCACATACAGGACTCTGGGGTTTCATTAGTGGCCGTGGGCACCAGGTAAACTGACCAGCTGTGGGGACAATTTTGCCCGCCTGGTTTGACCATCTAGCGGAAAATTTTTCCTATGAAGAAATTCAGTTCAAATAGTTTTACCCGCCTGTGAAAAGCGGTTGAAAATGAAACCCCTGAGGTCTGTTGTTTAAGCTCACAACCTGTTGCAGCTGAATAGGCTTAATGTTATAGGTTAACTTAGCTGTTGTTGATGCCATTCGCTCACAAAACAAAACGTTTGTTGTTGGTACAATGACTTTCATGTAAAACTCAATGACAGGCCTAGCTGATTATGGGTATTTTGAAAGAATACCTACACCATTTTGGACCCCAACATCATTGGCTATGTCATAACAGATTTGTGCAATGAAACACTTGATTGTGTGCCCACTGATTCATCATTGCGGCCTGCACGAGTCTCACTGTCTCTACTTTTCACATTTAAAGGACATCAGTCAGCTGTATCAAGTATTTCCTGATGAAATTCTTGGATCAGGACAGTTTGGAATTGTATATGGAGGTTAGTGTTTAAAAAATTGATATTTTTGTGATTGCCTTCTAACATTTCTACCATGGAGAATGGACTGAGAGATTTTCCAACTGGGGCTGTTTTAGTTTCGACTTGCACTGAGTTGCTTCTTGTGAATCTTGTCCAGTACTTAATTAAGTAAAAGTGCCTCACCCAGCAGCTAATTTGTTAATGCATGTACTCTAAGATGGCAAAGCAAGCTACTTGTGTTAAGCGCGGGAAAACATGTAGCCTGCCGTAAGCAGGAAACCGTTGCCATGCGTGGAAAACACTAAAACGGATTTGAGCGCTTCAACAGGGTTGTGCCTAAATCCTACCGCTCAGAAGGACAACCGAGGAGTACTAGGAACGAGTTTCCGAGTCGAGCAGTTTTCGGAAATTGTCGGCTATTCCAATATGGCGGACTATACCAATCATATAAATATGCGAATTGCCAGTGGTAAAACTATGTTGATCAACAAGACAAGTACGTTTTTATTCACCTGACAAGTTAAGAATAATGTGTAGAGAGTAAAGCAGTGA